ATCACTGGGGCCAGGTCTCCACTAGGAATGCCTAACTGGTATAGGACCACTAGTATATTCTTTGGGAATAGTGCTTCTACTGTGGCCTCAGTACTTCCGATCTCCGTGCTGGTTTAGAAGAACAAGCTTCTGTGAGCAAAACAAGCAATACTGGCCAATCAGCCCTTTTTACTAGTATAGTCATCTACATGAGGGGCTTCAGCACAGCAGGCAAGAAAGCTACTAGCAGAACTGCTAATATAGATATGTCTTCCATGAATGAATGGCGTGGTTGGGATTTAAGTCACCATCAAAGAACTTGAAGCCTCCGTTGATCCTGGCATTGCTGGAAGAAGAGTACAGACCTTCTACTTATGACAACTGGAAAGGATGCTTTGGAGGGAAGTGCAAGGGAAGTGTACCTGCAAAAAAAAGCTGTTTAAGAAAGGATCTGCAAATTGTTGGGTTTTAGTCTTAGTTAAATCCAAATAGAAGCGAGAGCAACAGAGGCCTATGTGGTTAAGTGCAGAGCTATCGAGCAATCCAGTCACAAAGGAGAAAGCATTAAGAATATTATATACGAACAAGCTCCAAGAAAGACTGGGACATGTATAAAAATAAAAAGAGAATAGATCAGTAATCACAGGAGCACAAGGCAGCATTGACTACAATTATGGCGAGTAATTCAGGTGGCAAAGGGTAAAACAGCCACAGTAGACATAAGAAACTGATCTATTAAAGGAGCCCATTAGAATTAGAGCTAGGTGATAAGAAAATAAATGGAAGGTTTTATCAAACAGACTTATTTATATGATGGAGAGCAGCCTATGGCTTTAGTCCTACAGGCTTTTGCAATGAGCAAATAACTTTATGCACATAAATATTTCCATAGAATACAATTGGGTTGACCAAAGTTCAGTGGAACTACTACTGTATAAAAATAAACCCAGGGAAAATTCTTTGCATTACCCCATAGTGGAGGTCAGGAGTGTAATTGTGTGCATGAAAGAATGGAAATAGGAATTATTATACATCTCTGTAGCACCTATCACTAAGGATCTGGGTGCTCTGAGTATGATCGTGTGAGGAAACCAGGCAGAAAAAGGGTTAAGAAAAAAAATCTGGCATATTCTTCAAGTCTTAAAAGAAATATCATCAACAGCCAGACAGTAATTTCTATTTTTTTAGAGTTCTCCAGAGCAGGTCTTAAATATCTAGAGTCTCTCAGGGGACTGGATATTATGAAATCTGTTTAACAACACTATTCCTATGTTTGAGGCACTAATGATGTGCTCAGCATGGCATGAGATATAAATTAGACATTATTTGCCCTAAGATGGTTAGTCTAAAAGCCAGACAAATTAGGGGGGGGGAAAAGTATATGGGGAAACCCAGAGGAGGTGTTGTTTAGTACGGGTATTTTTTTTTTTTTTATTTCCTTCATTTCCACTCTCTTTTCTTTAAAAAAAAAAATCCCTTCCTCCCATGATATACATTGTATGATCCATCTCTGTCTATAATGATTGTGTTAGGTTAGAACTGGGTCCAGTTACCTAGCAGGTGTTCTACAATAACATTATTATTCAGTAGTTGGATTAAGTATTGCCAAGAAAAATATTAGAATAGCCACAATGACAGAGCGATATTAAGGGTCAGAACAGAATACATTCAAAGTCTTTTTGCATCATCAGATGGTGGGACTAAAGCAAGATATTGAATGTTGATGGCTTTAATCACTGGCTTATGTAAGAATAAGCATTACAATCCTTTGCTGAATTTTTAAAACCTGCTTAACAAGAGGAAGCAGCAAACACCCATATCTGTGACTTTTTCTAGGAGCATCAGACTGGAAGGGACCTCCTGAACCATGCAGTTGCAGGCAATCATCTGTCCAAAAGGGTTCACAGGAGGTCCACCCTGTCTCCTTCAGCATACTATAAATACAAAAGCACCCCAAAAAAACCCCTACACAGGAAGAGAGGAGGGTGCCACCAGTGCATTGGTGGCTGCAGTGGCAGGGCACGTGTTAAGTAAAACATTCTCAAAGGGATCCTAGGAAGTAGACCATATTCCATGCTAAAGAGGAAAGCAAAAAACCAGGGGTCCTTGCCTGAGGGAAAAACCTCCATTCTGGCAACCTGTTTAACCTTTAGGGCATGAACAAGGCCCTGTAGAATGGGCTGATATTTACCTGGAAACATCTTTTCTGGGAAAGCCCAGAGGTAGCTTGCTTAACCTGTATAGCTAGGTCAGATGACTGACTTGCATGTCACAACCAATATGGACTTCTAAAAGAGTTCCCCCTGGCTTTGCCCTGCCTAAGCATAGTTCACCATCGTTGGGGTCCTAGCACAGATGTTCCCAGTCCACCTTCCTGATAGGGCATGCAAAACAGGCTACGGTGGCCCTGGAGACAGTGGATGGGAAAAGGAAGAGATGAGGGTTCCACTGGGCAAGGAAGAAATTTGGAAGTGTGTGAAAGATTTTGTCAAGTATTTCAGTCTGAACCGACTGTAAAAATAAAGCATAGGTGTATAAGGAACCAGTTAGAGATGATTAACTGAACCTCAGCTTCAGGAATTCATTTGTATTCCCTCTCCATAAGAGAGGTTTATATGCTGTGGAGAGTAAATAATGCTAGCAAAGCAGAATCCTTTTGGTTCTAAGAAGAAAACTGAATGAGGCTAAACTAGCAGGAAATTACCTAGAGGTTGCTGGCTCTGACAGGACCCACGACAAGCCTGGCAGTAAGATCAACTTTAAAAGAACAGAACTGATCCCTGAGTGTAATTGTTTGGCAAAATAATGGGCCAGACCCCTCAAATCCTTAGCATAGTCAAGCTTCCAGTGATTTAGGTCAGGTCTTTGCCTGTGTAAATACTTCCTGATTGGGCCCAGTCAGTACAATGTATGGAATGAGCTCTCAAGGGAAAGTTAGCCATGCAAACAATACATGATGTATGAGCTCAAGCACAGATTTTAGTGTGAAAGGGGAGGTATTCAGGAGCAGAGAAAGAAAGGAATAAAGTATAGGGTTACAAGGCTTTTCTCTGACTAGCAAACTAATAATTAATCATGCCCAGTTTCCTTGCTACAGTTAAAATGTCCAGAATCTGTATTTGAGAATTGCTGACATACTTGAAGATTGACAACTTACAGTACCAGCTCTATCATTATAACAACTGAACCTCAAAGTGGTAGCTAAGCTGGGAAAGACAATAATGCATTGGTAGTTCACTCTAATTTAGTCCAAGGTGAGCAACGGTGAATGCATTCACTCTGAGAATTTTCTCAGAAGACAAATCTGGAGTGGTTTCACTGGTAAATCACAAAAGATACTTAGCCACCAAGAGTGACCCCTGCTTATATACAGTAAATCACAAACATCGACAGTCTAATGGATTTTGATTTGGTGCCACAGCCAACTAAGCCCGAGGCCTGCGTTTCAGGATTCCAGAACAGTGCCAAAATATCCTTATAAATTATTAATGTGTTCAGCACACCGTCATCTGTGCCATTTAAAATCAAGAGACATTTGGTGGCTCCTTCTGCCATTAAAAAAAAAAAAGTAATAAGCCGTTCAAAGTAACACACCTTTCCTTTTCCCTTCCAAAGTAAATCATTAATCCACATTTGCCCCTCCCCCTCAACACTGTGAAATGTCTTCCCTGAACTCTAAAAGACACTTTTGTTTCTACCTGCAGTGTTACAATGGAAAAAGCCCATTTTAGAAAGAATATAATCCGCGCGGCAGGGACAAAGCTGCAATTTGCATACAGGAACATATGACAAGATGATGACATTGACAGAAATAGCTCAGATTTCCTTTTGTTTTATAGAAGTTTAGTGGAAATATTGATCCCAGAATTTTCAAGGTTTCCATCCTTTCTGCTGCATTTTTCAACCTCCTAGTCTTCATTTTTGTCCCTTCAGTTACCAAATCTCTGCACTTGGTTGCTGAGGTTTCATCACCAATAGAAATGTGCAACTGCAAGGGTGCTCATTAAGTGAAGCACCTAATTAGCTGTCAACTATGACACCAATTTCTCAGCACTGTGATCTTTGAAAGTATACAAATACAAGCACTGAATACAAAGTGTAACAAGTTCAAACCCAGACTTCAACTACTGGACCATCAATAGTATTATAAGAGGCAGAAAGTGAAATATGCTGGAAGCAGGTAAAAGACAGAGTCAAATCATTGTTTTTAGAAGATCTGAAGAGTGAAAGTTTGCAAGAGACTCTCAGAAGTCATATTTTACCTTGAAATGTTAAGATAAGCCTTAGATGACAGATTTTATTAGTGTAGCATCACTACTTAAGACCAGGTAGTTAGAAATGATTTCTAATAACTGTACCCTGAGAGACTCGCTTTCATTTCTACTAGTTCAATTAAACCTACCATAACTCACAGTAAACTTTACAGAGATCATGAACATTTTGGGCCCCAGATGGACATCTGTTCATCTGGTCTTGTCTTAAGGCATTGTCATAGCAGCATGCACATCTTAAACTCAGGAAAAAATGGCAAAAGTTGGGTAAAACAAGCCATGCTGAAGGTTAAATTAACATGGTTGCACTTCTGGTGTTCATCATTTCACATATTCCAGCATTAGAATCCATTCAATCATTTTTTGCTCTTCTTCAGCTCTTTAATCTACCGTTAAAATATATACAGATGTGCGTGTGAGTGTATGCATGCATGCATGTTCCTTACCCTGTTCCATATGAGCAGCGAAGAAGTGTGTGGAGTACAGAGTAACATTTACACATGAAGGGAGGGATCTAACCCAGAGAGGGAGAAGAGCTAGGGACCCAATGAAGGCCACAAAGGACTGCTCTATCACTAATCAATTTTATATGGAAGGCCCCCAGACACTTGGGTGATGGGCAGTAGTACCAGACTGAAAGATAGGTATGTCTGCACAGTGCCCCCCAGTTTGCTTGAGAGCCTCTTGCAGCAAACTACCTCTTACAAGACCTGTGACCAGCAAAAACAGAACAGTGACTCAAGAAGTTACCTTGGCCGCTACTGAAGAGTTGGGTTTCTCTAGAAGATCCCAGAGTTTTTTCCTTTTGTCCGCGCAGCAGGTGTTATCAAACTCCTCTCCTTCCCTTTCCCTCAGTGTCTCAGCTTCTCTCTTCAGCTCCTCATTCATTTGCTCTTTCTTCTGGTGGTATCTCGCCTGGCAGCATGACTCCAGATAGATCTCATCGATCCCCCAATAGTCCAGTTCTTGGCTGAAGGACAAAGCACACATCTCCTCCATCATGTGCAACTTGCCCGTGCGGTAGAAGTTCAAGATTGAAGTAAATGCCCCCGGGTGCCTGTCAAAGAAATACTCGTTCTCCTCCAGGTTATAGTCATCACATATTTCCATGAGGGATTCATGAGTGTTGTAGTCTCTGAGCTTACCCAGTCTGGTCCGTGGCAACCTGTCCAGGGTTCTCCATAAAACTTCATGCGCCAGACCCCCCACATTCAGCTTGACCCTGCGGGAGCAGGCCTTGCTCCGAACGATCTCCATGGGGTCTGGAGGCAAAGAGGTAGTAGACCGAGATCCATGCTTATTCATCCCCGCAGGCATTTCTGTCTCCCCAAGGCTCTACGGGGGTGGGTTTCGAGGGGTGGCTGGGCAGGACGCTCACTCTTCAGAGCCGGGTCGCTTCACCTGTTCTCCTTCCCCTCCATGCTGAAGAGCTGCAAGAGAGAAACCAAGCCATGGATCATTTTCATGCTCCTGCCGCTGTGCGTGGGGCTGCGGGTGACCTACACAATAAGCAGAGCCTCCTTCAGGCCGAGCCGGCGGCTTTATCCATTAATCAGACGAACAAATAGCTCGTTTAATCTGCTTTGCGCCCGGCTGCGGGAGAGCGTCGGGCGCTGTTCGGCCTCCTGGTGCTGAAACTGACCAGGGCCACGGGAGCCGCTCGCTGCCTGCCGGCCGGGCCCAGCCGAGCCGCACCCCGGCGGAGGGG